TGGATGAAAGCGAAACTTGGCAGTCAATGAGAAAAGAGGTCAAACTAGTCACATGCGAAAAAGAAAACACGTAGGTTGCTTGGTTATGGTGCTGTTCGTGTCTGAAGTTTGAGCACTCGGCTACTCCAATTTTGGTGGAATTTTGGATTTCTTTTTCACAACCTTGGTTGACAACCTTTTTCCTTTATTGTCTTCAAATTTTATTAATGTACGTTGCATACTTTTTGTGTACCATTGCAAAACACCACCCAAACTCGACTGCATTCTGGCATTCCGCTGAGTAGGTCGGGCTAGCCGGCGTCGAGTGGAAAATTCCATGACGTCATAAAGAAACAGGTCGGAGAAAGTCTACTGCGCGAGAGAGACGGGGAAACCATGTTCACCAGTTCGGCTTTCCAAAAGCTAAAAAGCACTTTTTAGGCTTTATCTTTATGCCCGCATGAAATTTATTTGCTTTGGATATGATAACAAGACTTTCTGCATACAAAAAAATCGGGGAGGAGAGATCACATTCTTGCGTTATCGATCGACGTGGACGGCTCTCTCGATCCTGTTATTCCCCCGACCTAGATCTACATGGACTCGTCAGTTTCGTGCCAAGGAACAGGAATTATAATACTACATAGTAGCTTAAATAAATTCATAGAATGGCTTTCTCGTTAGCAAGGAACAAAATATTGGTTAAATCTAAAGAATTGGTGACTGAGGGGTCTTTTTTTTATGTATGATTACTGTTTTTTTCTACCAATTTTGTACCGGTACGGAGATGGGTAAACTTCTGCAATAAAGGCGTTGTGGACACCGAGCTGGAGCCACAACCACGTTCGCCGGGGGGGGGGCGACAAACATACAAAAGAAGTAGAGGAAAATGGCGATATTAAGGATTAGGAAAGAAAAAGCAGCACAGTTATGAGTATGACTTTGTTAGGTCAGCCCGTTTACAATTCTTCTGAGCACTAGAACGAGAAATGTTCCCCCTTTGGGAATGACCTACAGACACTTCAGTCAGTGGCACCGCCCCAGGGGGTGATCCTGACTTTTAGATTTCATAAATTGGCAAGTCTGATTTTCTTTGTGCATTACAGTCGGAATTGACCCCTTTTGGTTTGTCAACTTTATTTTATTTTTGATTGGCTCAACGACCACCCTTCCCCCCTCCAAATGGACACAACTCTAATTGTAGTCAATATTACTCATTTATTTCTTGCTGTTACTAAGAAACCTTAAGTTAATTAAAAAATTGTTAGCATTCAATCGTAGTAATGGTCACTCTATGTGTGTCTGTGTGAATGTGCGTGCGTGTGAGTTAAATGTTTACATGCAAAAATTCTTACTATAAAATTAGGAGATAATTGACTTTTACCCTTTAAGTTTTTAAAACAAGGGTTTAAATACCCCTTAAGATAGAAAACCAAAGGGTGAAGGAACCTCTTAAGTTGGTCTGAAAAGGGGAGCCCTGATGGATATCCCATTTGAGTAACATACCCAGGGTACCTTTTCAACATTTTCGCTCACAGTGATAAAACAGCCTTTCATACAAAAAAAATAACAGCAGATTTGGAATCTGCAGGAAAAAATACAAAAGGTAGCCAAGTTTCGTAGATATATATTTAAAAAAAAAGAAAGTTGCTGGAGTTTGAATGTTGGCCGCAAGTCTTTGGCCTAACATTTTTATGAATTTTTTTACACATTTCCCCTGATATTTTAAAAACTACTGCAGATACATCAAATATTTTTATAGATATAGGTTCTGAAGGAAAAACTACAATAGGCTGCCAAGTTTCATTCATGTATTCCGTTTACTACGGAATTTTTGATAAAAAATGCCTCAAAACACCCAAATTATTTATGAATGAATTGTCAAAATTCTAAAACTGTGTTACTCAGCAGAGATAAGGCTATCACTATCATATGCACATTGTTTTGTTGGCTTTAAAGCAAAAAAAAAATTTTTCATGGTTCTTGCTAAGAAATATAATGTAAAATGGTTCATCAGGAATGGGAGTAACAATAGGAGTCAGCACATTTCTGGTCAACATGTTGGACAAATCTCTTGGGGGGGGGGGGGGTGTTAGGCTTACAAAAAGGAGAGTTAGATGGAAGAGATTGGCTTTTATAAAGATCATGTTTAACAATTACTTTTATTTTTGTTTCAGCAACATTGCAGGAGGTTCCAAGGCCGAGCATCACTGATCATTCTAATGCAAATGGAGGTAATGTTAATGACATAGCAACTTTGACAGTCTTCTTATTTAAAATTGTAACGTTGAATACATCTTAGGTTTGGAAAAAAAATTGATTGCTTTTAAGACATTGTAGCAATGCCAATTGTCTGTTGTTCTTTGGGCCGGAAATCGGGCTCTGTGGGAGGGGTAATTTTTTTGTGACACCGAGGCTCGAACGGGAAGAATCAAGTTCATCTACTTTCGCTTTCGTACCACCCAGAAATTTCCGGTAATAGTCTGATAGACAGCGCAACATTTGTAACATGCAGGTTGTGCATTACAAACGCTGTCGTCATGAAAATACAGTCAAACCTGTGTAAGACGGCCACCCATTGTCAAGGAGAAAAGTGGCCGCATAAGACAGGTGGCCGTCTTAGGCATGACTGATCAAGATAAAGAAAACAAACCATTCCCATCTGAGGCCCCAATCGAAAGTAGCCCCATTGTTGTTGTCTTTGTTGGTGTTGTTGCTGTTGGTTTGTATTTCGTTTGTATCAGACAAGGAAGACCGAGTGCCATGTTAAAACAAACACATGGGTCGCCACCACTCTGAGAACGAGGGACGCTTCTGTAACAAGTTCATGTTGACGTCCTTTGTTACTTTGTTACAGACTGGGTAAACAGTAACCACTCATTTCACTTACGATTTGTGTAACACAATTTGTGGGCGGGGCTTATGGGTTATGAGGGATCACACGCTAACTCACCTGCAGCTGAAAATTGGTAGCTATTGGTCAACAGTGGGAGGGGCCTACGCAACATGATCGGTTGGAGGGACTACCTAACAACAACGACAGGTGATTGAATTATGACGGCTCGCCCACAACGCCAGGGGCCAATGCACAATTTATGACAAAACGTAATGGATTCACTAAGGTGACCGTCTTAGACAGGTATTATTGCTTAGTATTATAGGGGTTGTGTGTTAAATTTTTGTGGCCGCGGCCGCGTTGGACAGGTGCCCGTTTTACACAGTTAAATTATATAGAAAAAAACGCAAGGGGGGAAATGGAAAGTGGCCGTTTGTACAGGTGATCGTCTTATAGAAGTTGCCGTCAGGGCAGGTTCGACTGTAAATCAATATTTGACCTGTGCTGTCACTGGTGAAGAAAAAAAGGAAAAGAAAGTTGTACAAAACAAGCGTCTTGTCAGGCTCGCCATCGTGGCCGCTCAGTGAACCTGTGCGTTTTGCATCACATGATAATAGGTACCACAAACCCAAATTTCAAAGTGCTTTGATCAAACATATGTTTGTTGCCTCATAAAGAACTATGCAAACCATGAACTTTGGTGT